CGGCCTCTCCAACTTCCTTCTGTTCCTCTCAATATTAGTCTTCGCTGGTTTGCTCCCCTCTCACACCTTGCTTCTTTCCAAAGTCAACACCTTCACGTCTGCCCTTGGCCTCAAACCTTCCATTCTTCAGAACTTAGACACGTCAATTTTCCCCTTCACTCACATCTTCAGTCCTTCCTATGCAACTGGTTTCTTGGGCTCTGTGAACATGCTCAACCTTCAATCACCATAGAAACTATCTTTTCACGTTTGTTCTTGCTCCAATGATTGTAAGTCAACCTGCCCTTCTTCGTCTTTCAGAAAGAGCAAGCTTTCTCTCCATGTTTACCGTCTCCACCTTACTTTTCACTGATTCTACACCCACTGAATTTTCACTTCTAATAGCACAGCTGAATTAAAACTGCTTTATCAAAATCAATGCTAAATAAAACTCCGGGGAGGCCATTGTTTTGGATTGAGCTCCTGCACTAGGCCCCAACAAACCAGACCAAACTAGAATGGAGGAGTCACTCGTGCTAGGTGCCACATAATCAAACTGAACTTAAAAACAAGCCAGTTTTCCAAATAATAGGAGGTTTACAGCAACCAAACAGAAGGGGCCCAGTCAACCAAAGCCGGCATGATAAGAAGTCTCCTGTTTCATTTTTTTTTTTTTTTCCTTTTTGTCTTTTTTCGTGTCCGGCAATGGATCGCAACCCNAACCCTCAGTGTCGCGCCCGTACCAGACCGGGACCGGCAACGGGATCGCAACCCTCGGGGTCGCGCCCGCACCTCGCGCGGGAACCGGTCTATATATGGGATCCGAACCCTCGGCAGGAGCACCACCGCGCTCCCAAGCAGCGCACTGTAGCAGTGCGCCACCGGGCCGGCCCCAGAAGTCTCCTGTTTCAACCCTATATGGAAAGTAACCTGAAGTAACTTGAAGCCAACCAATCTGCTCTTAGCACTGTGCTGTTCCCTTGGTCCTGCTCAAGCTACCTTACAAAAACCAGCTGTTCTGCCACTCAATAGAGCCCCTTTCTGTTTCGTAGATGGGATACTGCCTGATTCATGAATTGCTAATACAAACCAACTAGATCTTTACACTTAATTTGGTGAAATTTCACCTCTTCTCACCCTTCATTCTTTTTCAGATACTCCTCCATACAGGCAGAATATTTGTATACCTTGTCCAGAGAGATCCACTGTCTTCTGGTGTCCAGTTTTGCCATCAAAGAGCTCCATTACGTATTTCCCTTTGTCATTCGGAGTGGGCTCATTGATTTGCAGCCAGATCTGCTCCCCGGTGACCCCACTCTTAACTCTGTCTGTGTACTTAATAGCAGTCCCACTGTCAAAATCAAAGAAAACATTGCTACTGTTTGCTTTCATCCAGAGCTGGTCTTTGTCTCTTATTGAGGGTCTTACCATAAAGTTTTATAGGCTTTCAAAAAGCATGGGATCTGCATATGTTATTCTTCTGCTTCACATAAATGCCAGAACTTGGATTCCAAGGCCTGGAGTCTGATAGTCTGAACATTTACTTAACTCCCCGTAGCAGTCTGGGGCCCAGGACAAACTGTGACAACGATCCTTCCCAGTGGTTTTAATTATCTTTGTTTTTGCTCAGGTTTATTTGTAGGCCTATGTGTTCACTCCACAACTTAACGTACTGAACAAGACAAGCAAATGCTTTCTAGGCAGAAAATATAAAATAGCAGATTTTAGAAGTTTCAGTGACACCTTCAACCCTTCAAACAGAAAGGCAAAGATATTAGCTCCACCAAAGAAAAAATGGCAACAAAAGTCTGTTTCAGATAAAAATTGGTTATCTAATAAGCATCCTGATCATCAAAAAAGCTTTCTCTTATTGAAATGATCCCGATGTCACAGCCTCCTAGCTGGACAGCTGGATGTCTCAATGGTAGGTTGGTTGGTCTACTTGGGCAAAGGGCACAGTGAATTGCTGTAATCCCAGGGGCTGCCAGTGCTGGCCTGAATAAGGTGAAGGGTACAGTATCTGGGGAGGGAGAAATGGTGCGGTGCTTTCAGCTTTTTACTTATAATTGTACATCTTTTAACTTAAAAATTTTTAATTCATAGCTGTGCCTCACCTTTCATCTTTGCTCTTAGATGGAAACCATTTTTGTTGTTGTTGTCGTTGTTGTTTTTGGTGGCTGCCCTGTATGGGGTCTAAGCCCTTGACCTCGGGTGATAACATCCACCATGGTCCAACCAACTGAGCTGACCAGCCGACCCTGGAAACCTTTTGTATGCATCTCTCATTACTTTCTTCTCCTTTTCCCTGATCTCTCCAGAACCCCCATTCTCTCAGCAGGTGGCCAGGAAATCTGAGGCCATCAGGACCCGGCCTCTCCAACTTCCTTCTGTTCCTCTCAATATTAGTCTTCGCTGGTTTGCTCCCCTCTCACACCTTGCTTCTTTCCAAAGTCAACACAGAATGGAGAAAAAAAAAAAAAAGGGGGCCAGGCTGTGGCTCACTTGGGAGAGTGTGGTGCTAATAATACCAAGGCCCCGGGTTCGGATCCCTATATAGGGATGGCCGGTTGCTCACTTGGGAGAGCGTGGGGCTGACAACACCAAGTCAAGGGTTAAGATCCCCCTTACTGGTCATCTTTTTTAAAAAACATAATAAAATAAGAATGATAGCATAGTAGGAATTCTTTCTCATTTGTAATATTATATTATAAATGTATTTTCTAAAACAAGCATGTATCATATTTGTGGTTGTAATAAACAAAATGAACTTTAAAAAACAAAGAATAACAAAAATTTCCACCAAAAAATTTTAGATTTCAAATGAATATTTAGCATTTTCTCATACCACTACATTCTTTAAAGAGTATTTATTTATCTAAAAAGATATTAAAAATCTAAAAAGATATTAAAAAATTAAAGTGCCATAAAATGTACGGTAAATGTCCCATAAAAAAGGGACCCATCCATACCCCACAGATTAGATATGTCTCAGAGAGTTAGACAGAAAGATTGTTCTCAGCTTTGCTATGATAAACCTGTTTATATTTAATCTCTGGCTAACATGTATAATAGTACCTTACATGTATAAAATGCTTCAGATAGAATAGTTATTATTGCTCCTATTTTATATAAGAGAAAACTGAGATGCAGAAAACTAGATGACTTGCCTACGATCACAAGGGAAGATGGGAACAAAGTCAAGACTAAAACTCATTTCCAGCTTCTTTCCCATTATGCCACAAACCGACAGACAGCAAGGCAGTCCTTGATTACCGAACCTTTCATAGGTACATGAATACACAAACAACCCACGTAGCCAACTAGACCAATTTAAGAAGTCTATGCCTTGCTAGTTGAACAGCAATTTCCTCAAAACATATTTTCAATGTCCTAATTTTTTGAACAAGTAATTCTTTTGGAGATGATACAAAGTTTTTTGATTGATGACTCAACTAATTTTACTTCTCATTCTTCAGACTGATATATTAGAATGTCCTAGATGTTCCAGAAGAATTTCCTAGAATTTGATCTATTTTAAGTTATACTTAGTTTCTTTTTTTTTTTTTTTCCTTTTTGTCTTTTTTACTGACCGGCAATGGGATCGCAACCCTTGGTGTCGCGCCCGCACCGTGCTCAGCCAGTGAGCGGGAACCGGTCTCCACATGGGATCCGAACCCTCGGCAGGAGCGCCACCGCGCTCCCAAGCGGCGCACTCTCCAGTGCACCACCGGGCCGGCCCAGTATACTTAGTTTCTTAAAATGTATTCTGAAAGAAATAGAACAAAGGAATGAACCCTCAAGCATTCTACACTGGAATTTTACTACTTCTCATTTTTAGAACTCAGGAAATGAATAATAATAATAATGATAAAAACAACACTGTTCTATATCACAGTAAAGTAGTTCTAAGGAAAACACAAATGACTGCTTTGTGGGCCCCAGCTCTGATTAAATGCTCAGTCTCTGGAGGGAGCCTGCCAGGGCTCTGCCCTCTACCCATCTCTTAGCTGTGTGACTCCCAAGGTCATCTCCCCAAGGCTCATCACTAAAGTGAGGACTCTACCACACAGAGTTGTGAATATGAAGTGAATTCATGTATCTAAAGGGCTTGGAGCAGTGCCAGCATGTTGTCAATGCCCAAATAAACATTGTTATCTGGATCCTCCTGGGGATGCCACATGGCCTACTTCTCAGTGGGACACTTAAGGACACTGTTAGGAGTATAAATAGTTTGACTGGTTTGACTTAGAAAGAACCTATTTTGGCTCTTGGAATCCCAGAGATGAACTTGAATGGGATCCCTATAACTCCACAAAGGTAGCCTGGGGACTAGAATAGACCTTCAGCCTCCATCCAGTTCAAATACATATCCTCAAAGTCATCTTTAGATCACTAAAGCCTTCCGAGGGTGGACAAGGAACACACTAATACCCAACTATGCCAATTGCTGTACACAACAAAAACAATGATACTGGGTACTCCTCTGGATTAGGCTTCTTGGGTGAATGGCCATTAACTTATACAATGGGAGATTTGGAGCCTCTGAGTGCACACTGCTTCAGTTTTGCTCCAGACCACAGCATGTGTTAGTTGTATTTAGAAAGAGAGCGCTAAGAGTGTGGCAAAGCAGAGATAGCCCAAGCACAACCGTCTGGAGGTGGAGGTTACATTATAGAGAGTCTGCAAAGTATGAGGGAAAGAGCTATCCTCACAGTAAAGGAATGGCCTGAGGGGTTCTATCCTATGCTCATCAACATCAGAACTGAGAATTAAGAAGACTCCTTACCTGAGAGGTACAGAAGATTTTTGTTCACTCCCCAGCCCTTACCCCTGTGGAGAAAGAGTTTTCTACATAGCGAGTAAGTTCCCATTTACTTACTTGTGGGACCAGTTCACTTTCAAATCATCCAGGTAGTAAGTAACAAAAGAGTACAGCCGGATGCCTTCAGCTGTGCTCTGGATTTTCAGGTCTGAAGCAGACAAAGCTGAAAGAAGAAAACAGCATGTTTCATGTAGCTTCAAGCCCATCCTGGCAGGAGAATAGCAAAACATTGTTGTTATGAGAAAAATTTAACTTACCAATTGTTTTGCATACTTCAGTCATCAGTTCTTTAAAGGCTGTGGATAGAAGTTCATAGGCAAAACTTTAGCACAAAAATGTTCAATGTAAGGTCAAATCTCAAATTGTTGGCTCTCAAAAATTCTCTGTCTGGTGAAGGGTATTGGACACAAGGTGAATTTGTTGACTCTGATAAGTGCTCTTTGAGGAAATAACTCAATTTTATCAGGTTTTAAAAGATCTCTGCTTATATTGATATTTTCCCCCTCTAATACTTTGTAACTGTGAACATATTCACATTCTAGAGAAAGAACCGCAATGAAACTTCCAGGAAGATTTTTGGCTTTAGGATTCTCTTTCTTCTTAAGTCCAAGGGAGCCTTAATTTACATCAAAAGAAGTCTTCTTATCTGTGTCATCAATTCATAATGAATTAACCATTTAGGTCTCCTGGTCTTCCTCAGCCTGAGAATGCTTTTTGCCAGTAAGCACATTTAGCTGGCCTCCACCAAAAAAGAAGTCAAAATCAGATTTCTGCTGTTTATTAGCAATACTATTAAAAGATCTTGTTCAGGAACAAAATTGGAAGTTTGGGAATCACATGTAGGTTTTCATTATCATGATATATTTGTCCTTAGTAGTCTCTGAATAAATGGAAATTGCTTTCTTGCTCTCTTAGTAACTGCGAGGCATCAGATTTTGTACATAAATCTTTGGTTGCCACCTTTAAGAGTGGACTATTTTTAGGGGCCGGCCCAGTGGCGCACTGCTACAGTGTGCCGCTTGGCAGCGCGGCAGCGCTCCCGCCGAGGGTTCGGATCCCACATACAGACCGGCCGCTCACTGGCTGAGTGAGGTGCGGAGGCAACACCGAGTGTTGCGATCCCGTTGCCGGTCCCGGTCCGGTATGGGCGCGACACTGAGGGTTGCGATCCATTGCCGGTCACAAAAAAAGACAAAAAGGAAAAAAAAAAAAAAGAGTGGACTATTTTTAGACATGCTTCTCACAGAAGTTTTTGATCCTGGAACATTTTTATAGAGTTGAAACAAAAATGATGATTTAAATTTAAAGCAGACCCCTAGTGGACTGTGGACTATAAATTCACTGAGGATCAAAAGTATACCTCTGATTTCTGGGAACACTGAAAGTGAAGTATTTTTGAATAAAACAGTAGTTCACTCTGCTGGAATTTCAATTAAACCAAAATCTGACAACAAAAATACCAGCATGATTTCAATCGTCGGCCTGGCCTCAATCATAATTCTGGTAACCTGTATACAGCACACACAACACAAGCACTTGGTGGACTAACCTTCATCCACAAGCTTCAATCTGCTCTTATCTTTTCCTCTGTCGTCTTTCAGGATAACTTCATAAATGCCAGCATCTTTCTTGGAAAACTAAGGGGGAATAGACACACACTGCAGCTTCACATAGCCTCAGGGTATGCTGTATGCATTTTTAAGGCCCTTGATTTATGGAACTGCCATCAAAACACACATTGAACAAGCATCTAGCCACTTGAGTGATGAACAATTCACAGATGAATCTATCCATAATAATTTGACCAGCTGGAAGTCCTGATTTTTCACCCTCAAAGGCTATAATTGATTTGAGGCTTAAAGTCCATATCTTTTACTCTGTCTTCACTTATTAAAAGCTAATGATTATATATATTTCAAAGCTGTGCTCTTTTAGACAAAAAGTAGATAAAAATCTATACTTAAATGAATACTATTTCTGGCTGTCTCTGAACTTTTAGGGAGCAAGTTATTATGATGCTTAAGAACTAATAAGGAAGGATCCACTTAACTGCCCATATGTGAAAAAAAGTAGCTTAGCAAAGCAAGAGTTGTGGTGTCCAGCTGCTACTGGTTGGATATCTAACAAATCTACGCACACCACAAGGCAAGAGAAACTTTTGTGTTTCTATGGCAGTTAGAAGTAAGCTATTATAAATCCTCAGGTATGAAATAAAAAGAGAATCTAGTCTCCGTTTGGAGGGAGAATGTAGGGTACAGAGCTGATTTATTACATTTCACATTGATAATCACCTACCTCTGTTATAAGCAGGGTACATATACCATCCTTAAAATCATGCTTTTCATCCACTGATATCTCCCTTTCATCTTTGTACCACACAATATGAGTCTCCTTCTTAATATTTGCCACCTAGAAGAAAAGCCATAATTACCCTTCTCGAAATAAGGAAATGTTACCCTTATGAAACTAAATAGTTCTTAATGCAGCAAGGTATAGAAGAAAAAGCACTGAACTGGAGTCAGAAGACACAGCTCTCTACAGGAATCAATGGAAAGCTATTTTAATTGAGAAAAGAGTTTAGAATAGAGTGGATACCAATGAATAAACCTAAATCAATAGCACCTCTATTTCCGGCAATAAAAATTGACCTTAAAACCATCTGGTACACAAGAAAAGAAAGAATAGATACCTACATACTAACATACACACTTAAATGGAAAAAGAATCTTAAAACAAAAGGAAGACAAATCCCATCAGATTAAAATATAGTCTATGTCAAAAAAACACTTTATTAAAGGAACAGAATGAGTAAGCCCCATTCTATATTGAAAATTTTAACAAAAGATAAATGCAGCATTGCAAATATAGGTGGAGGGAAACTACAATTTAATAAATTAATTGCTTAGTAATTTTGATGAGACTCATTTAGATCCTAATTCACACATCATGTTATATCACAAATGTAAAACGGACTAAACAACTTCATATGGTCAAAGGGGTCTTGAACTTTATAATGTTTGAATTTTTTACAAAGGAGAATATACTGATGTATTTCTTGTATAATTAAAATTGTATGAAAAAGTAAAGACTTTCACAAATCAAGAGAACAATCCAAGAGACCCCACTGAACGACTGATGAAATGTACATACAGTTCCCTAAAGAGAGTATAACTATAAAACAAACAGATGAAGAAAATGTTTAGTCTCATTATAAGCAAGAAAATCAAGTTTTAAAGTGTTAAAAAAATTTCAGCTAATAAATGAACATAGGAATCAGCACTGGTAACTATCATGAAACCAGTCCACATGAATGTTCTTTATGACCCCATAACCTGGTTCCTGAATTATAGAAAGTAACTGTGTTACTAGGTGGTACTGCTTATGATAAAAATGACCCCAGACGGAAAGCTGGATATGGACTAGAGGGACTAGAAACGGACTCCACAGTTTTGGGCTTTGCTGAGTAGACTGACTTTTATAATTTGGACATGTCCCTTGCGGGGATCCTGGAGGTTCTGCTTAGGGAGTTGTTGTAAGAGGTACTGGATCCTCCAGCATGAGGTTTTTTAAAGCCAAAGTGCCTCCTGCCCAATGTGGATCTTGTCTCCCTGTACCTCAACTGTCATCTAGGGGTGGCAAAGGGAATAATAGCTCCCCATGTGGACACCTGTGGAAGAGGAATGCCCAGCACTGCCTTGTGTGCAAGCTGGAGTTCCTCCTGTACCCTTTTGAGTAGACTAGTGCCAAGTGGAGCTCACAGTAGTCTCAGGACTCAGTGTTTAGCTGCACATACTCTATGACCTATAATATAATGTGTAAATTGCTAAATTTACATCAATTATTATACTAATATACTAACAAAGCTATGGAGACAGGAGGGAGGTTCATTCTAATAAGGAAGGCCATTTCAGACATTGAAACAACATAAATACATAATGTGTGAATTTTTCATAACCTATTTCTAGCACTTCTTGGTTGTTTAGAATCTGGGTAAGGGGCAGATTTTCCTGGGGAAAGCCATTGGAACAGGACTTCAGGGCTTACCTTCCAGAGGACAACAGGTAGTGCAGGAGGAGGAAGGATGAGTGGGCTTCTAAGAAAGGGATGGTTTATGGGCAGGGCTGTGTGGATGGGAAAGTGAGTGGGGGCGACACGGCAGTGGGCAGCCAGGATGAGAGAGGGGGAGAGAGAGCAAGCAGGGTTAGCTGCTGCCAAGAAAGAGTTTTTCAAGAAGCTTTGTCATTTCCTGAGAAGCTAAAACCTGGAATTGATTTCTCTTATATATATTTCTGACTGCAGTTTCTTTGAATTTATCAGACCTAGTAGAGACTGGGGCACTTCTTGCTTTTACAATAACTGCATGCCAACTGTGAAGTCCATTCTTTGCTTTAGAATATGTCAGCCACCATGACCTTCACACTCCAACCTCATCCTATAGCTCCTTATTCAAAACATTTCTGATGACTCACTTAGCTAACCCCATATGCTAAGGTACAAACAAGTTTAGAATGCTATATAGACTTTTTTTCCCCCTAACTCTTTCCAAAGCCCTAATAAGGTAGAGAGCTGCAAATTCTTGACCAAACCTCTCCCCTCAAGACAGCACAGAGGCTCAGAATCAGCAGCGCAGCTGGTGAGCACTCAGGCTCTGTTGTGCCAATGTCACAGTTTACATAGGAGGTTCCACAGAAAGACACTGTGACTGGAGTCACTCTGGAATAGATCTACCGCTTAGGATACAGATTTGGCCTAAAACAAAAATAATGTGAGAGTCTTCTGAGATTAACAATTAAATAAGAGTCTGTGTCCTTACTAGGTCATGGGTAGTGAATGAGAAACGATCATCTTGCCTTCTCATATTTTTATGTTATTTTATTTTAAATGTTTCTTACCAACGAATGGTTATAGTAACATTCAACAGTAAGGATATCTACTTATCATTTTGGTTCAAATGGAGGAGATGAAAACCTGATCTTCCACTTCTCCACATTCTATTTTATCTTTATTCCCCTTGAATCAAATATTAAAACTTTATCCACCTCTTACCTTGCATTTCAATAGTACATTACATTCACCAGTCACTTCCCAGCTCAAATACTCGGCAAAATGAGGACCTATAAAATTTTAATAACATCTGCAATTACTCTATTAATCATGAGTGCAAAATCAAAGCTCACTCTTAAATCCTAAGGTGATTTATTTTTAAAGTCAAATTTTAAAAGTTCTAGATTTAATTTTTAAATATTTTTAATGTTTACACACTTAATAAATATTTTCAGGCATTATTAACATAATCGATAATGTTCATTTTAATTTGTTATGGAAATAATCTTGGAATCTTGGAATATTTTGCACAAAAATTTTTCTCTTTACCCACTGCCTATTTTTACCTTGTTTCCTGATCCATTCTTGCCGCTGGAATTCAGCTTCTTTCTGGAGCTTTTTATAAACTAGAAATTGAAAAACAAGGAAGTATGGGATTGAGTTAAGCAGCATAAAAACACACCAGCCACTATGCTAAGTGATTCATATTCATTACTAGAACACTTATACATTGTGATGACCCTACTAATTTTCAGTCTTTACAGATGATGAAATAGGCTTAAGTAACTTGTCCAAGGTCACCTAGCTAGGACTAGTGAAACCGTATTGGATGCTGCAGATGTAGAGATTTAGCCAGCCTTTCCACTGCTCTGTAAATGCCATATTTTAAATCTTGGTGGTTTTTATGGCAGCTGACTTACTACAATCTAGTTATAATGTATGATTAACAGATTTGGCATGCAGTACTTTTGCATATTTTTCTTCTCCATTTGAGTAACTTAAAGTAAGTACACATTGTAGAACAGTATCACGGTTTGTTTCTGAGACAGATATACAATCTTGGTTGTGCTGCAACCTCCTTCACTGAAGAATTTTAGTAATAAATACTTGTTTACATATAAGGTTATTTAAGTGCAGTCTTGCCTGTGGGCTAGGGATAAATTTGTTGTTCTTTTAAATTAACTTTCATTTCTATGCAATGAAATACCATGGAAAGTATTAACTGAAAATTGTATTTTGAACATTAAAATTAAATTAGGAAACAATTCCTACTACCTCTCACATGACCACTTTTGTGCCATGGGGTATCTGCACTAAAGTGAATACCAAGCTCCACAGAATTCTTACCATCTCCAATGAGAACCAGAGTAGAATGGCCAGTTGTTTTTCCATCTTGAATCTGGAATGTATATGTTCCCTCATCCTCATCCTGTAGCTTCTCCATGAACATTTCAATTATGCCAGTGTTTCGGTCAATATGCATCTTATATTTCTTCAATGGGAAAAGGGAAAGAAAGAGAAATCAGTGAGGTAGATACTTTACTTTGATGACAATAAGCCTGATGAAATAAAGATAAACCCCAAAGAACCATAATTTTAATAAAATTTCCTGACAACTGAGCAAGTTTTTAAAAATATTATACCCATGAAAAGAGAAGTATGTGGAATGTATGACCCAGACCAGAACTGATTACTAAGCAAAGTCTGAAATTTAATTTCTTAAACCTAACAATACCCCAGGGCACAAAATGTTGTGAAAAACTTTTCAGATTCTCATTTTTCCTTTCAGATTGCATTATTTTTAATTAGTAGAATATTATAAAACTATTAACATTATAGACAAATGAGGGAAGTGTGGCTCATTCATTGCTATATCCTTAGCACACAGCACGTGCATGATATATAGTAGGCAATTAATAAATATCTGCCGAATTAATATGTGAATAAAAAATGCTCCTAAACCACTTGAAATTTATTTGCTTTAATGAACTGAAATAACCCTATTAGAATGTGCTTATTTTATCACATTGTTTAGGCAACTTGTTTTCAGAGTGTAAAGATAAGTCCTAGTTCCTGCGCATGCAAGCACAAACAGTAGATTTCCATCATAGATTTGAATTAAGGAAGTTTTTCTAAATATACCACAGAATGAGGGCTCAGGTCTGGGGTCAACTCTGTGGTGCAATTCGTGGTCCAGAGCCTCTTCTGGAGGAAGCCAGTCTCCAACTGGGACCACTTTCTTGCTTAGCTTTCCCTCCCTGTCCTGAATCCCTCACCCTCTTTTCTCCTGACAGCACTCCCCAAATAACTCATGTGAATAAGAAACTATTTCAGACTCTCCTTCAACGGAACGTGACCTAAGACAGTAGGGATGTGCACATACATGCTTCAACACATGAAGGGGAGTGCATCCACATGCACGCGTGCATGAGTATTCACTCAAGGGAACGGGGGCAGACAGTGATGCCAGCAACGCTTTTCCTTCCTCTCCCCTGGCCAGGTGGTGACAGCAGCAGTTGATGAGAACGTCTTGGTAATAGGAGAAATGGGTCACGAGGGACATAGGAGTGACTTGTTTTGGCTCTCCACAAAGTTACCCTATGTGTTGAAAAGGAATATACTGCATACTCTTCTACTATTTGTTACTCATTTCTGCCTCACTAACGAATCCTGAAATGTTTAAAATATTTATCTCCACGAAAAGAGAATGAGTTGTTAGTAATGGCCACAAATCACACCTCCTCCCTCTTTCAGTTTCTTATTTACACCTTTGATAGCACAGGTGAGGGCCTGAGCCCCTGAACCCACGTCCTTCAGCACAGCTGGGCACTGGCCCCAACTTGGCTCTACTGATGTCTGTGGGGAGGATGAACAAAGCTCAAATGTTGTAACTCTGTTTATAAAAACTATGTTATGTTAAAAGCAAAGGAAATAGAATTATTGTATGTATGTACATATGTATGCATATATATAATCACCTATGTAAATAAGACACAGATGTATGCACATAGATGCACAGAAAAAGTCCCAAAAGTATATATCAACATGTACATCAAAAGAGAGTAAGAGTGTAAGAATATGTAATTCATCCTTCTGAATCTTTCAAGTTTTTTTCAATAAGGATGTATAGCATGTTTAACCAGAAAAGCAGTGAAAGATATTTATATTGCATTTTTCCGAGCCACTGGAACAAGAGATCATTTTCCCCGGACAATGTATCAAGTCCCTACTGGGGTTTCTGACACACGATGTGATTTCAGACAAAGATACTTTGCCTTTCCAGGAGAGCAGCTTTATTTTCATGGGTGACCATACTTCTTGGTTTGCCTGAGACAGTTTTGGTTTATGACTGTTGTCCTGGAAAAATTCATTCTCAAATTTTCATTCTCAAAAGTATCCCAGTTTAGTTAACCTGTTGTAGTCAATCTGTATTTTCCTTTCACATTTTTTACACATGAGAATGATTTAAACTCCCCCACCCCTCTGCCCAGTGGTTTTCATAATAATTTATCCATATTCCAATAGGGCATCCTCAGTGTATTCCACAATGATATATTTAAAAATCAAAAAACTGTAAAACCTACCGGCCCTTCAAAAATTTCTTTGTCGTTAAATATATAGTTGACTTTGGCATTGCCAGACAGCTTCTCAGCCTGCATCCAAAACCGGACTTGTCCTTTCTCCAAAATTTCAACTGCCAACTCTGACTTAATGGGGACAGCTATGAAAAACAAAAATAAACATAGTAATTTATGGGTAAATAATTATATTGATATGGATTTTCCAACAAGTGAAAATTATTCAATGGAAATGGGAATGTAGCACCTTGCTTCTTACAAAGCCCAGCAGCTGTGAGAGCATTGTAGAGAAAGCTTCAGATTAAGGACAGAGGACCTGGGCTCTAATGCTGAAACAGTCACTTTGGGCAAGTTGTTCACCTCTGAATCACAGTTGTTTCAACTGTTAAAATGAGGAAGATGAATTTACCTCTAGGGGCACTTCTAGCTAACATGAGACTCTCTGCTGTGATTTTGGTTAGGTTTATTTAGGGGAATAACAAATTGTGATGAAAAGAGTCTTGGCAAACTCTGTGATATCAGGCAGGTGACTTTGTGTCGTTGGGCCTCACTCTGTAAACGAATGGAATTAAACTAAATGCCCTAATTAGCCAAGATACTAGCTCTAACATTCTAGGGTTCAATGTCATAATTTTCATAATATTTAGAACGGAGTTAAACTTTATTTTTTCAAACAATTTAACTCACTTTGGAGGTTCTATCAATTGTTTTTTAAAAATGAATTTTAAAGAAGAATTAATTTTGACTATATATACAAGATGAACTAGCTGGTCATTTAAATCCTATCCATCCTTATGACATACCAGCTCATTTCAGTTCTAAGACCACGCAAAAGTTTTCAGAAGCAAATAAATGAGTCACTATTGAGAAGCTATATTAAAACATAGAATGGCTTTCTTTACATAGAAAGTGAAGGAACCCTATGATATCACTGATATACACCTGTATTACTTAATCCATTTGAGTCTCAGTGAAATTTTAAAAGTTGGCTGACATCTCTCCAAACCAGTTTTTAAATTTCTTGTAACCTGAAAATGTTCTCAAGAAAGGCTCCTCCAACTGTGGTATTGTATCAGAGGTGGCTCCAGGACAGACTTTATGGAAAAGTTTCTCACAGTTTTTAGTAGTCCTTAGCTTCCTTTAGGGGAAATCATCACCCTTTATTTTCTCTAAACTGGTCTTAAACTTACTCAGAATTTCAGCATGTGCTATATTTCAAATCACAAGCTTCCCAAACTTGTAACAAATGTACACTGATATTTCTTTGTGTTTATTCTAAACTACCTTTTTCAAGCTTCGAGGGACACCTTTCCTTTGCAGTAGTCCACATTCTGTGGAATTCTGTTACAGACTCATTCTGGTTCAGGACTGAAGGGGGCTCAGACACCATCTACCAAGGGGGTGTTCCAGGGTAGGCAGAGATGGGCTCTGGAGCCACACCGTGACCTCTCCTCCTCAAACCTCGTGTTCCTCACCTGCTAACATGGACACTCTGTGCCTCGCAAGGCTGTCGAGAAGAGTAATGGAGCAGCAGGACACAGGAAGGTACTATAAGTAATGACCAGTACTCGAGAAGGTTAGTTGTCTCCCTTCCCTAATTTCACCATGAGAAAACTGAACCCAGGAAAGAGCAGTAACATATCTGGGTAGTGGAGCTGAGACCAGGGTTATTCCCTGTATTGTCTTCCTCGTGGTCCCACCTGTCCACTCTGAAGAACACTGCTGGTTTTCCAGCATGAGCCTGATGTCAGAATACAGCGGACGATGGACAGACCCCAGGATGGTGAGAGCAGACGCTAAGATTCTCCCAGCAGGGCGCTCATGCTCGCTACAAGTAAGTCTGGAGAGTGGAAAGTACAATCTCTTCTAGAAAAGTCTGGAGGCCCCATTCTGGGGAACCTAAGAATGATGCAGTTACCTAAGAGGCCCAGATGGTGATGGAGGGGGAGGGGCGGACCCTCCTGGAAGCCTCCAGCTGCCTTCATGTTCACTGTCCTCCCTGTCATAAGAACATCACCTTGGGAAACACTGGCCACCATGAATCACCAAGAAGGCACAATGCAAATGTGGCAGGTGCAGGCACAGCGAGTGATGAGGGGAACAGGCTCCGGAATCAGACCACTTGAGTTTAACCAGCTGTGTGCAAGAGGGCTCGTGACTTAAACTCTCTGGGCCTCACGCTCTTCACCTCTGAAATCAAATCACCATAGTACTGACCTTTTTTTTTTTTTTTTTTTTTTTTTTTTTTTTT